TATCGCCCAACCGGCGTCGCCATCAGCCCTGACGGCAGCGCGTTGTTTGTGGCGGACTTCAGCAACCACCAGATCCGGCGGGTGGAGGTGGCGACTGGCGCGGTGACGACTCTCGCGGGCAGCGATACCAGGGGCAGTGCTGATGGCATGGGCGGGGCGGCGCAGTTCACAAACCCACGCGGCCTCGCCATCAGCCCGGACGGCAGCGCGCTGTTTGTGACAGACGCCAACAACCACAAGATCCGGCGGGTGGAGGTGGCAACTGGCGCGGTGACGACTGTCGCGGGTAGCGGCACCGAGGGCAGCGCCGATGGCGTGGGCGGCGCGGCGCAGTTCAGACGCCCACTCGGCGTCGCCATCAGCACCGACGGCAGCGCTCTTCTGGTTTGCACGAACGACGGTGGCCTCCGCCAGGTCTGCGTGTCGGCGCCTCCTCCGCCTCCCTCCTTCGCCCCGATTGTGGTGCCGCCCTCGACCCTGGTGGCAGACCTCGGAAAGGCGTGCGGCGACCCCACTCTCCCCCAGGGCATGGTCACCTTCATCGTCGGCGATGACGAGGAGCGCTACGAGCACGTCACCAAGGCCTTGCTCTGCATTCGGTCCGTTTTCTTTCGGACCATGTTTGGCATCGGCATGAAGGAGCGCGACGCCGCCGAGGTCACGGTGTCCAACACTGACCTCGCCACCTTCACCGCCCTCGTCCGCTACCTCTGCACCGACCAGCTCGACCTCGGCGAGGAGGAGGGCGGCAGAGCGCAGCGCGCGCTCGACCTGCGGCAGCTGGCGCAGATGTACCAGGTGCCGCGCCTCGAGCTGCTCTGCGCGCAGGCGCTGCAGGAGAGCGTCGGGCCGGCGAGCGCCGTGCCGCTGCTCGAGGCGGCGCACATGACGGGCGACGGGCGGCTCCTCGCGCAGTGCCGCCGCTACGTGGCGGACAACGCCGCCGTGGTGCGGGCGAGCGGCGGCGTGGAGCAGCTGCGCGACCTCGGCTTGGCCAAGGGGCTGCTCGGCGACGCGCTCGACCAGGTGGCGGAGCTCAAGGGGACGGTGGCGGCGCTCAAGGGCACGCGGGGCTGAGGTGCGGTTTTCACATTCTTTGTGGCCGACCGCAGCGGTTTGCGAAGCCCAGAGAGCGCCGCGTAGAGCGCCGTAGGTGGCGCCCGTCGGGGTGCGCCGGCCGGCGCCGCCGGTCGCCGCGGGCGGAGACGACACATTGTTTTGTTTACAGTTGCATGTGAGGGCGTGGTTTGTTTTGTGTCTTACTACGTGCGTTCCGTACGACTTCGAGTGTAAGAGCCCGAAGCCGAGAGCCCGAAGGCGAAGGCCGAAGCCCGAGGCGGCCCGAGAGGTGCCGAGGTAGCTCTGTAGTCTCACACAGGGCCGAGCGTTTTTGATCTCTGGATCTGTGGGGGGCCGAGCCGCTTCGGGGTGGCGGGCGGGCGGGCGTTTTGAAAAACAGAAAACAGAAAACAAGAGGGGGCCCGGGGGCCCAGGCCCCCCACTGCGCACTGGGAGTAGAAAATACGCCCAAGGGGGCCCAAGGTGGCGGCGCGGGGAAGCAGCATCAGGTGAGAGCAGGAAGGATGGCGCTTAGGGTCGGCTTTGAACAAGGGTTTCCAGGTTTTAGATCAGTATTGGTGTCGGCACACTGCACACATCCCCACATTGAGGTCAGCGGCGCGCAGTGCCTCTCTCGCAGGCTGATTTTGGCTGTTTTCGAGCTTGTTTTTGTTTTCAGTCTAGGGGGCCCGACCCCCTCAGAGGCGGCGGGCGGGCGCCCACAGATCCAGAGATCAAAAACGCTCGGCCCAGGCGAAAACAGAGAGAAGAGAGTCACAACGAGTGACCCATGACCGCAGTCACACCTCTGAGACTCACCTAGAAAGAGATATTGAACAATCACGCGCAATCCAGAGCTTGCCAGCTGCCACTGCTCAGCTCCGTTCCCCCAACACCGCCACCTCAGCCACCTTGGTACTGTGGAGCCCCCCTGCCCTCTCACTTCATCGTGGTGGTGAGCTGCTGCCCCGCGGAAGAGAGCACCTGGCTCGGCGAGAAGATCAGGAGGACGCGGACGCCGCACAGCTTTCCCGCCGTGCGCAGCTCCGCGGCTGCCGCCTAGGAGGCAAGGCAAGCAAGCGTCTGCACATGCACGCTGAGGCGAGAACTGTACGTAGCTACCAGTCCGCGTGTGAGTTACGTGCTTGTGTGTGATTGGACTTGCTGACTGCGTGCGCCTTGCCGACACTGTTACCGCGGAGAAAGACGTTCTCGAGGCTGCGCGCCCTTGGTAGCGCGGCCGCCAGTGCCTTGGCGCCAACATCCCCGATGTCATTCGACATCCAGAGAGCCCTTAATCCGCCCCGCTTAATTCTTTTTCTCGCGATGTCTGCCCCGCCGCGCCGCCGCTCGCGCCGCATCGCCACCGCCGCCACCGCCGGCCCCTCGCCAAACACGCCGCCGCCCGCCCGCCTCCTCGACCTCCCCACGGAGCTTCTCGTGCGCGCCATCTCCCGCTGCGACCCCGCCGACATCGCTCGCGTCGCGGCCGTCTCGCTGCTCTTCCACGCCTCGCTTGCGGTGGAGGGCATCCGCTTGTGGGCGCAAGAGCGCGGCTTCGAGCTGCCGGCGGTGCCAGAGGGTGAGGGCTGCGCCGTCCGGTGGCTGTGCTTCGCTGCGCTTCTGTGCGAGGCCAACCCGCCGGCAAGGGCGGCTGCAGGCATTCGGCACAGCCTCTTCATCGACAGCGAGGGGCGGCTCTCGTCGTGCGGCACAGCGCAGACCTTCAACCCATCGATACTCCGTCACGGTGAGGGCGTGGCGCAGCTGAACACGCCGACCCGCCTCCCCTCTCCGCTGGGCGGCGAGTGCGCTGTGAGCGTGTCGGCAGGACTTTACAACAACCTCGCCCTCACCGCCGACAGCACTGTCTGGACCTGGGGCTTTGGAGACGGGTCGGGGCCTTGGCGGGTCGGGGCCTTGGCTGGCCAGCGCGTCGTCGCCGTCTCGGCTGGATACTTCCATAGCCTCGCCCTCACCGCAGACGGCGCCGTCCGGAGCTGGGGCAGTGGCAGCGATGGCACGCTGGGCCACGGCGACATGCAGCAGCAGCTGCTGCCCAAGAAGGTCGAGGCCTTGGCCGACCAGCGTGTCATCGCCGTGTCGGCTGCAGAGCGCCACAGCCTCGCCATCGCCGCCGACGGCAGCGTCTGGAGCTGGGGCAGTGGAGTCGGGGGCCGGTTGGGCCACGGCGACTGGCAGAACCAGCAGTTGCCGAAGAAGATCGAGGCCTTCGCTGGCCAACGCGTCGTCGCTGTGTCGGCGGGAAGCAAGCACAACCTCGCCCTCACCGCCGACGGCGCCGTCTGGAGCTGGGGCTATGGAGCCTTTGGAGGCAGGGGCCAGCTGGGCCACGGCGACCTGCAGGACCAGGAGCAGCCGAAGAAGATCGAGGCCTTGGCCGGGCAGCGCGTCGTCGCTGTGTCGGCTGGGAGCGGCCAAAGCCTCGCCATCACCGCCGACGGTGCCGTCTGGAGCTGGGGCGATGGAGTCTGCGGCAAGTTGGGCCACGGCGACGAACAGAACCAGCTGCTGCCCAAGAAGGTCGAGGCCTTCGCTGGCCAGCGCGCCCTCGCTGTGTCGGCTGGAGCTAGCCACAGCCTCGCCATCACCGCCGACAGTGCCGTATTTACCTGGGGTAGGGGCGAGTACGGCGGCCTAGGCCACGGAGAGGACTTGTCGAACCAGCTGCTGCCCAAGAGGGTCGAGGCGTGGGCGTAGTGAGAAGGCCGGGGCTCTGGCGCCGCTGGTGTGCCCGAGCGCGACTTGGCTCTGGCGGTTCCTCTCGACCCTTTCGATCCGGAGAAGAGAGCGATCTTTTTTCTCTTTCTAAAGGCGGCTCCCGTGATCTGTGATCTGTGAGGGTCCGCCCGCAGGCGCATTTTGTATACCGAGGCGGTGCCCGGTGCCGAACCTGTCGGACCTTGACGCTTGAGACAGCGTTGTAAGGTAAGGTAAGGTAAGGTAAACTTCTCCACACACACGAGGTGGTGGGGCAAGGGGGGGCAACCCTCGCGCGTCTCCACGTCTAACGACAGGAGCCCCACGGCATTTAAAGTGCAAGGCCCGGTGCGCGTGGGTGAGCGGGGTGTGTGTGTGTGTGTGTGTGTGTGTGTGTGTGTGTGTGTGTGTGTGTGTGTGTGTGTGTGTGTCACGTCACTGCATCCTCTGCGTTGTAGATCCCTCATCTAGAAAACCCCGGCTCTATGAAATCATGGAGAAAAGCATGATTTGCACATGATTTGTGATATAATGATGGGTCTGTTGATATCATGAGTAAGAATTCATGGTCGTGCTATCATACCCCCGAGCGTGAAATTATACCGATCCCGCGCGGACCGCGCGGACCGCGACTGACCCGCGACCGCTGCACCTGCAGTAATCATACATAGCGCAGACACACGTGTTCAGACGGAACAGGGGATCCCTCCCCACCTCACAACGTGATACATCCCAAGCATGCTGGGGGAGCTAGCCGGCAGCGGGCAGGAGGGGAGCCCCATAGCCCGAGAGATAAAGTATTTTTGTCCCCCCCGGGTCTGCTGCTACCTATGGTTGCCACCAGCGTGCAGTAACAAAATCAGGGCAAAGGTGTGTACCTTTAGCACGAGCGCGGAGTTTGCCCTTTCTTGGCCTGCTTTCGCAGTTGAAACGCCCACAAAGTTCTTTTTTGAGAGAGTGTCTAGGGTAGGGGGTGGACAGCGCCCCAAAATCCACCGGTGTGGGATTTCGCGCAAAAGCCTGACTCTGAATAGCTCGCATGTACCCTCGGGTGTCGACGGGCCCCCGGTCCACACTTTCATAGTGGACAGTATCCGCTGGCTGCTACACCCCCTCGCTTCCCAACGCGGCCAAAGGATATCAGCCTCGAGTGATACTGTCCCTCATCGTGCTGCGAGTCGTGCTGCGAGCGTGCGTGTGGCAGTCGACTCAAGTGCTGCATGCCTGCGCACACGCTTGCCGCTCCGCTCCTCGGCGAACGTCGAACAACGCCACCGATGCTTCTGAAGTACATCCAGCACGTGCCCGCCGCGATCTTCATCACAGTGCTTTCTGATGTGTACGCCTTCTCTTTCGGCCTGATTTTGGTGCCTGTGGCGACCGGACTCCCCGTCTCGTCTGGACTGTCCATCTACCTCCTGTCGGTCGTGTGCGGGCAGCTGGCAATGAGCTTACTCAGCGGCTTCAAGCACGCCTCCTCCGGCGCCGCCTACGAGCTGGCCCCGCTCCTTGTGGACATTGCTCTGACAGTGACGCCCTTTTGCGAGTCTTCGGCTGCGATGGCGTCGACGCTTCTGGTCGCAAATGCGCTGACCAGCGCCCTCGTGGGCACCCTCTACATCGCCGTCAGCTGGCTGCGCCTTGGAGCTGTTTTCAGGTGCTTCACCCTACCCTCGCCCTCACCCTCACCCTCACCCTCACCCTCACCCTCACCCTCACCCGCACCCTCGCCCTCGCCCTCGCCCTCGCCCTCACCCTCACCCTCACCCTCGCCCTCGCACTCACCCTCACCCTCAGGTGCGTCCCCAACATCGTGCTCAAGGCTGCGCTGACCGGCGTCGGCATCTTCATGATGCTGTCAGGGGTGGAGATGGGCGTCGGTGGCGAGGTCGGCGCTGGTAGCTCCCCACAAGCCCTTGCGCTCATACCTTCGTACGAGTCGCTCCTCACTCCTACTAGGTCGGCGCGCTCGCGACGGCCGGCGGGCTAGCGCGCGCGATTGGCTCCCTCGCTGCCTTCGCCGGCCTCGCGCTCACCCAGCGCATCTTCGGCGGCTCGGCAGCTGCGCTGGCCTACTTGGGCGGCCTCTCGCTCGCCTTCAACGCGATGCCGCTCGTCGGCCTGCCTGCCCTCCCTCCCGACTGGTGGTTTGGAACCCCCCAACTTAACTCTCACTCAATCCTAATCAACTCTTAATTAGGAGCGGATCCTCTCTAGCGTCATCCCCCCGCCCTCCGCGCCTCCGCCCAAGCCGCCCGCCGCCGCGTCGACGCCCGCTCAGCGCGGCGCGGGGCTCGCCCACGGCAACACTTCGCCGCCGCCGTTCGCGGTGTGCGCGTCGGAGGGACTCGCGTGTGCCCAGGTCATCCCTCATTGACTCCTAATTACTCATGAATTAGGTGTGCGCGTCGGAGGGACTCGCGTGTGCCCAGGTCATCCCTCATTGACTCCTAATTACTCATGAATTAGGTGTGCGCGTCGGAGGGACTCGCGTGTGCCCAGTTCATCCCTCTGCCAGGGATAGCGTCAGTGGAGCCGGTAGGACTCAAAACCCCTCATATTTGAGACATCGTGTCCCAGCATATACTCGTGCAACAACCCACTTAAAGTATAGTGGTTAGCGAGCCGTGAGAATGCTGAATCGAGACTTTTCTTATGAATCATTGCCTTGAGCCCACCTTCCTCCACCTTCACGTATCATCGCGATTGACCGCGCGACTATAGGGACCCCGTTTCTCCACTCACACACCGGGCACGGCCGCGGGCGAATAGACCCCCCTTGGCCCAGACGCCTGGCCAACACAGCCGTTCCGTTCTCAGTCGCCGTCCTCAGCCGCCGCTGCGCACCCGCCCGCCCCCCTGCCGCCCACCTGCCAGGCCTGAGCTACCGCTCCTCCCTCCGCCAGCCCCTGCCCTCTGCCCCCCCCCCCCCCTTCTCACCCCCCCCCACCCTCCCTTCCTCCGGCCCACCGCCGCCCGCGGCCGCGCTAGCTCTTCGCCGCTATTCGCTTGCGAGCCGCTTGCGCCAGCGCCGTCGCCCCTGTCGACGCCGCCCGCAAAGCGGCGGTGCCGGCGGCGCTGGCGGCGCTCTGCGCGTGCGCCACTACCGTCGCAGCGGCGGCGGGGGCGGCAGAGGCAGCGAGGCCAACGGCGACACCGAGAGTGATGACAGCAGCGATCGTCTTGGCGGCAAAGACCTGCCGCAACAGAGGGAGAGATGTGCGGAGATACGTGGGGAGATACGTGGGGAGATACGTGGGGAGATGTGGGGAGATATGCGGAGATACGTGGGGAGATATGCGGAGACACATATGGGGGGATACGCGGGAGATATGCGGGAGATATGCGGGAGATATGCGGGAGATATGGTAAGACATACGGGAGATATGGTGAGATGTGCGGGAGATATGTGGGGACATTGCGCCTGCCGCGACAGCGCGCGCGCCTCGCGCTCTTGCTGCGATCGCTCGTCCGCCGCACGCCGCCGCGCGTACGCCTGCTCGTACAGCCCCAACGTGGCGCGCTTGGCCGACAGCATCGAGCCGGCGAAGAGCATCGCGCGCAACGTGGACAGGTCCGAGTGGGTCGGGTCCTCCGCGCACGCCACCCCCCACGGGTAGACGCGAGTCCCATCCTCCGACGCGCACACCTAACTCATGAGTAATTAGGAGTCAATGAGGGATGACCTGGGCACACGCGAGTCCCTCCGACGCGCACACCTAACTCATGAGTAATTAGGAGTCAATGAGGGATGACCTGGGCACACGCGAGTCCCTCCGACGCGCACACCTAATTCATGAGTAATTAGGAGTCAATGAGGGATGACCTGGGCACACGCGAGTCCCTCCGACGCGCACACCTATCTCATGAGTAATTAGGAGTCAATGAGGGATGACCTGGGCACACGCGAGTCCCTCCGACGCGCACACCGCAAACGGCGGCGGCGACGTGTTGCCGTGGGCCAGCGCCGCGCCGCGCTGAGCGGGCGTCGACGAGGCGGCGGGCGGCTTGGGCGGAGGCGCGGAGGGCGGGGGGATGACGCTAGAGAGGATCCGCTCCTAATTAAGAGTTAATTAGGGTTGATTAAGAGTTAATTTGGGGGATGACGCTAGAGAGGATGCGCTCCCCGAATTCGCCCAGCGGGGCGCGCGAGGGCGGCGAGGGCGGCGGCGTGGGGGCGCCTACGCGTGCGTGCAATGTGAGTGCGATGGCATCGCTCAGGACAGAAGAGAGGGGAGTGGCGTGGGATGGGATTGGGGTGGAAATACGTGCTGGCGGTGGCGTGGGCGCGCCCTTCCTTGAGATGTGGGGGAGATATGGGGAGATATCGGGAGGGATGGGCGCGCCCTTCTTTGAGGCGGCGCCGCGAGCAGAGGGGGGAGGGGAGGCGACTGCTGGAGGCGGCGCGAGCTCGAACATCGACACACGGGCCGCCTAATTAATTAACCATTAATCAATTAATTAATTGGCTGGAGGGGGCGCGAGCTAGAACATCGACACACGGGCCGCCTAATTAATTAACCATTAATCAATTAATTAATTGGCTGGAGGGGGCGCGAGCTCGAAGATCGACACATGGGCCGCCTAGTTAATTAACAGTTAATCAATTAATTAATTGGCTGGAGGGGGCGCGAGCTCGAAGATCGACACATGGGCCGCCTAGTTAATTAACAATTAATCAATTAATTAATTGGCTGGAGGGGGCGCGAGCTCGAAGATCGACACATGGGCCGCCTAGTTAATTAATAATTAATCAATTAATTAAATCGACACATGGGCCGCCTCGAGCTCTGAGAGGATGAGCTAATCTCGGCGAATCTCGGCGAATCTCGGCGAGTCTCGCCTTGAGCTCCGAGAGGATGAGGCGGCGGAACGCGTCCCTCTCTCCTACACGGGGAGATCTGGGGGAGATATGCGGGAGATCTGGGGGAGATCTGGGGAGGTATGGGGAGATGTGGCGAGATGTGGGGGAGATATGGGGGAGATCTGGGGGAGATGTGGGGAAGATGTGGGGAGATGTGGGGGAGATGTGGGGAGATATGGGGAGATATGGGGAGACAGACCGACGGTCATGGTATCGCTCTTGGCAATCACGGGCACGATGTTGACGTACGGCTGCAGCCGCTTCATGAACTCGATGTCGGCGCCCTTGAGGCGGTGCGCGGCGATGAAGTAGAGGCACGCGTGCACCATGCCGTCGCGCTGCAGCCCGTTGCCGACGGAGGCGCCCGAAGCGTGGTTGCTGTCGTAATGGGAGGCGAAGCGGCGTGTGATGTCTCCGACCTAGCAGAAAACGCCAACCTGGGGGCGGGAGTACGGTAGTGTGCAGCGCATCCAGAGCACCGCGTGAGTACAACGGAGAAGAAGACAGTGATTACAGCCGAATACGACCGAGTACGGCGGAAGACGTGTCCTCTCGAGTGCTGGTTGGTCTAGGGATCGAGATACGGGGAGATACGGGGAGATATGGGGAGATATTCAGCGTCTAGGACCCCCGACGATGGAGTCGATCCACTCGGTCGAGTCGACAGAGTCGCCGTAGCCGGGGCAGTCGACAACCTAATCTCGTGCAATCTCGCGTCATCTCGCCCAATCTCGCGCACGCTATAGCCCGGGGGCAGCCGACCGAAAACTCGATCGGAAAGCCGTCGTTCTCCACGGTGAAGACAACCTCGCGGATCTCGGTCGTCCGCGCGCGCAGCGCCTCCTTCGCCCCCGCGTCGTTCGCAGACAGCTCGTTGTCCGGCACAAACGGCCGGAAGAGCGCGCGGGTGAAGGTGCTCTTTCCGAGGCCTGCGCGGGAGCGTGGCCGGCGGCAGCAGGAAGGCGGCGGTGGGGATGGAGGGGCATGACGGAACGGGCAGTGGCGGCACGGCCAGCGGCGGCGATGTGGCGGCGGCGGGCCAGCCTCGTGTCTGACACGGTGGACGCTGCTGCTGCTCTGGCGCTTTGGAGAGGCGGAGCGTACCGCTCTCTCCGACCAGCATCACGCGGAAGGAGAGGCCGGCGCGCCGCCACTCCGCCTCCAGCTGCGCGGTCAAGCCGAGGCTCTGCATCGGGCGACCATGCTCCATCTTACCGCGGCGATATGGCGCGATGATACCGACAGAGAGGGTTTTGACCTAGAGCCCTGTGGGATGCGACTTCGCCGAAATAACGTCGTGTCCAGTCCGAGCCTGACTGTTGTTCATCTTTCTACATACATACATACGTCGTGATGCATGTTTTGGGAAACGCCGCCGATGGCGTGACCGCGGGCCGCGAGGAAGGTCCCAGTCGGGACCGACCGCGGCCCCCCGGCCGCGAGGAGGGTCTACGTGCCCCCGGCCCCCGTGCCGGACTTTAATGGCAGGGGCGGCGGTGAGGCGAAAGAGGGGCGTGACCCTCGTAGAAAAACGAGAATCAACTGATGCCTCTGACCAAACGCATTTTTGCCTCTCTGTGGAAGGGATTAGAGTGGTCTGACCAGTAAGAAGTCGGGTCGAGGCCCTCCGTAGTCTCGTGAGGCGTCCCTCTTCCCTCTTCAATAGAGGGATCGTCATCTGGACCCAAAGGTTGGTGCCCAGCAGGTGTGAGTGGTGAGCCGCGTGCACGGCTCTGCTGTACTGTTGATCGCGGGTGAGGCTGCAAAGCCATCCTCGCGATCCGGGTGCCGTCTCAGACGACTGTAGATTGGTATAAGGTATAAGGAACTCGGACACCCGAGTGGTTTAAGGGAATGGCGTCGTGCAACACCCCCCTCTCAAGCGTCTCACATGACGCCGACTCGAGAGTTGAGGGAACTATTACGTGCCAATATTTGGGCGCCTATTCGGCGCCCAAAGTGCCAATATTAGGGATCTAGGTGGCGAGACGTGCCACTGCACAGGGTGTGGGAATATAGGGATATAGGTAGACTATTCATCACTGTGGGGGGGGAGAGAGTGATAATAGGGGTGCTGAGGTGGGGCTGGGTGGAGGTGATTCTCCGGGTCAGTCAGGAGGTCATTCTCCACCACCTCCTGCGACAGCCGACACTCTCAATCTAAGTACACAAACATAACGTATCCATGTGGGATGAGACCACATTCATGATTCGTGACATTTTGTTGACAAAAGAGGGCGGGACGCAGGAATATGTGCTGTCTAGCAACGACACAGCTGTGAGCTGACAAGTCAACGCACAGGCGCTCCGACTCCTCCCACGGCCAGATACAAGACCGGCCGGGCTCTGATGTGGCGACGAGAGGTCTGGTGAGGACCTCTGACTCTGTGAGGACCTCTGCGCTCTGGCTGTGAGGACCTCTTAGATGTGAGGGCCTCAACGACTACGTGAGGACCTCTTTCTTTCTCGACTTGTTGGCTCCCTACGGCTACGCACTTGGAGCACTCGGAGTGCAGTTAGTAACTTCACATCCAGGGCCGGTGTACGCTCTGTGTCTCGCCGTGAGGTGGTGAGGACCTCTCTGCAGGCTCTTCTCTCCACAGTGTTGTTTGGGGGGGGTGAGTGGGGGGGGGCGTCTGTTCTACGAAAAGAGCTCGAGCACTAGAGCTCTAAGGCCTTGTGCCACAACACCGTGTTACCGTGGGTAGAAAGGTGATCTGAACAGTCTGGCTCGGACTGGACACCAGCGCGGAATAGGGGTGGACGCGAGACAGAAGACGCTAGAGAATTTTACAACGAAAGCCTCTCGCACGATTCACACGACAGACAAGGCGCAGGGCGCAGGCGACGGCTTCCTTAGAAGCCGTCATCCTCACAGGAAGTCGTAGATGATCGAATCCGCCAACACCGTAGTGCTC